TTATAATCTTTAATTCTATTTTCTTAATAGAATGATTGGAATCGGATATTGTACAAAGCAAAGCGACAAAAAAATAGACGATTTAAATTATATAAACAATATGTTCATGCCTGGTAATAGCAAATTTTTATTTATTTTCTTATTATTATAGATTAATGTCTATATCATATCCTTTAGGACAGGAAAACAAGGAAAATGAATCATGGGGGTGTGGTTATCATGGTGATGACGGATATTCTTTTTATTCAGGAAATGGTAGGCCATATGGAGAGTCATATACTACTGGTGATATAATTGGATGCTATCTAAATTTTAGAAATAAGATAGTATTTTATACTAAAAATGGAATTAACTTAGGTAACCAACATTTAGAATTAAAAGTTACCGTACGGCGCTGCATATAGTACCCCTTGGAGAAGTATCTCCTTTAATATCGGGGTATTATTCAATTGTAGATTTTAAAATTTTTGAAAAGTATCCTGATACTAATCAAGTAGTAATTTATTACGTTCATGATCCAACTAATGATCATGTTATACGATAAACTCACCTCTTTTTAGTATACCCCTTGTATAGTATCCTCCTCTTCACACAGTACCCCGGGGTATTATTTAATTAATCTTAGATTTCTTGTAAAAACCGGGGGTACTATATGCAGCTCTGTACGGTATATGTTTTACAGAAATTTAATCATTATAAAATATTTTAAGGAATTGCGTGCCATCTACATAGCAATTTCAAAGGCATTCTATATCCTTGTGTTGGATTTAGATCGCAAGGCGGATCAGTAGAAGTGAACTTTGGCAACGAAAAATTTAAATATTCTGGTAAATTTATTCGAAGGTTTTAATCATTTTTGGCTTATTTATAATTAACTTAATCATCTATATATTTCAATTGGCAGCGATGACTAATGAAGACGTTAGCGTGGCAGCAATGACCAATGAAGATGATAGTGTAGCAACGATGACTAATGAAGACGTTAGCGTGGCAGCGATGACTAATGAAGACGTTAGCGTATTTCAATTGACAGCAATTACTAATAAAGATATTAGCAAACGTCAATGGCGTCCCAAAACAACACTACTAAAAAGTTTCCAAAAGACAGCAAAGAAAAATGAAAACAATGGTAAAAAATCAAAGAAAAATGAAGACAGTATAAAATCAAAGGAAAATGAAGTGATTAGTAAAAAATCGAAGAATGCATTAACATTAGAATATCATGAAAAGCATTATTTTATTATGGGTGGATATGAAAATATACTTGTTAATTTAATCAATGAATTAACAAAATCACTAGAAAGAGAGCTAAGTAATGTATTTGAATTATGCTACCGAGGAAAAATATTTTTTATTATGGGCGAACATGATAAAGCATTTGAAGATTTAACTAGATTGTTAGAAATTGAACCAGACAATACAATAGCATTAAAATATCGGGGAGAAATTAATTATTTGATGAAAAGGTATAATGAGTCAATCGCTGACTTGGAGAAATTATTAAAAATTAAACCAAATGACGTATGGGCAAAGGAGGCTTATAAATTAGTCAGTGGGTTGTAAGTATGATATGTATTTGTAAATTTTAGCAGCTTAAAAAAGTTTAGAAGCAAATAATAATTCAATTATCACTTATGGCAATCACAAGTCTGTATGTACAGTAACAGAAATTTTTATAGTCAATCACTATCACTAACATCTAAATCACTTGCATCACTGTAGCTCGTAAGTACAGTAAACCAGAATTTTTTACGGTAAACACTATAGAAATCACGTTAATTCCAACGCAAAATTAACATCATCATATCTAAATCACTTGTATCACTATAGCTCGTAAGTACAGTAAACCAGAATTTTTTACAGTATATCACATTATACATAGCAATAGCAACCGCACATTCGCGGTCTCGTGATGACTACGTTAAAATTTCATTGGCCAAAACAAACCTCAATCAAAAAAATTAACTTTTAATGTTAGGATAAGGGGGAGTATTAGGATAATAATAGAAAAAGCGGGTATATAGCAAAATTTGCAAGGAATTTTTGCTAAGACGTAGAAAGTAGTTTTGCAGTCGAAATTGAGTTATGCATTATATGTAAATCGATATTTTTAGGCCAAATCATAGGGAAATTGATATTTATATCACTTCGGGCAAAAATTAAGAGTATAATTTGGGCGAACAACACAAATTTGGCCAACCTGAACTGTCGGTAAGTTTTGGAAAAGTAGACAATCGACAAACATGTTCGCCGGGAAGTTACGTTACTGATCACGTTACACCAAATCATGAATTCTGATTGGCCAATCTTGGTAAATCGATATTTTTGATCATATCGATAAATATTTTTGCAAAATCAAAATCAATATTTTTCACTGTCCCTGGTTATGGACGATTTTTTAAAAAACCGGCAGTTTTGTTTTGTTTTCACGGTACACCTGATCCTGTGTCGTGATTAAAATCACGTGTCCGCGAACATTTTACGCGGTTGCTATGTATAAATCACTATATAACATAACCATATCCAAATCACTGTAGCTCGTAAGTACAGTAAAACAGAAATTTTTACGGTAAATCACTAGAAATCATGTTTACTCCAATACAAAACTAACATAACCATATCTAAATCACTTGTATACTGTAGCGAGTAAGTACAATAAAATAGAATTTTTTACAGTAAATCACTACAGAAATCGCGTTCATTCCAATACAAAACCAACATAACCATATCTAAATCACTTGTATCACCACAATAGTTAGTAAGTACAGTAAAACAGAACTTTTTCTGTAAATCTGTAAATCGCTATAGAAATCACGTTCATTCCAATACACTAACATAACCATATCTAAATCACTTGTATCACTACAATAGTCTGTAAGAATTTTTTACAAGAAATCACGTTCATTCCAATACAAAACTAACATAGCCATATCTAAATCATCACAATTCTGGTTTACTGTACTTACTCGCTACAATAATACAAGTGATTTAGATATGATTATGTTAGTTTTGTATTGGAATGAACGTGATTTCTATAGTGATTTACTGTAAAAAATTCTAGTTTACTGTACTTACTCGCTACAATGATACAAGTGATTTAAATATGGTTGTTAGTTTTGTATTGGAGTGAACGTGATTTATATAGTGATTTACTGTAAAAAATTCTTACCGACTATTGTGATGATTTAGATATGGCTATGTTAGTTTTGTATTGGAATGAACGTGATTTCTTGTAAAAAATTCTTACAGACTATTGTAGTGATACAAGTGATTTAGATATGGTTATGTTAGTGTATTGGAATGAACGTGATTTCTATAGCGATTTACAGATTTACAGAAAAAGTTCTGTTTTACTGTACTTACTAACTATTGTGGTGATACAAGTGATTTAGATATGGTTATGTTGGTTTTGTATTGGAATGAACGCGATTTCTGTAGTGATTTACTGTAAAAAATTCTATTTTATTGTACTTACTCGCTACAGTATACAAGTGATTTAGATATGGTTATGTTAGTTTTGTATTGGAGTAAACATGATTTCTAGTGATTTACCGTAAAAATTTCTGTTTTACTGTACTTACGAGCTACAGTGATTTGGATATGGTTATGTTATATAGTGATTTATACATAGCAACCGCGTAAAATGTTCGCGGACACGTGATTTTAATCACGACACAGGATCAGGTGTACCGTGAAAACAAAACAAAACTGCCGGTTTTTTAAAAAATCGTCCATAACCAGGGACAGTGAAAAATATTGATTTTGATTTTGCAAAAATATTTATCGATATGATCAAAAATATCGATTTACCAAGATTGGCCAATCAGAATTCATGATTTGGTGTAACGTGATCAGTAACGTAACTTCCCGGCGAACATGTTTGTCGATTGTCTACTTTTCCAAAACTTACCGACAGTTCAGGTTGGCCAAATTTGTGTTGTTCGCCCAAATTATACTCTTAATTTTTGCCCGAAGTGATATAAATATCAATTTCCCTATGATTTGGCCTAAAAATATCGATTTACATATAATGCATAACTCAATTTCGACTGCAAAACTACTTTCTACGTCTTAGCAAAAATTCCTTGCAAATTTTGCTATATACCCGCTTTTTCTATTATTATCCTAATACTCCCCCTTATCCTAACATTAAAAGTTAATTTTTTTGATTGAGGTTTGTTTTGGCCAATGAAATTTTAACGTAGTCATCACGAGACCGCGAATGTGCGGTTGCTATTGCTATGTATAATGTGATATACTGTAAAAAATTCTGGTTTACTGTACTTACGAGCTATAGTGATACAAGTGATTTAGATATGATGATGTTAATTTTGCGTTGGAATTAACGTGATTTCTATAGTGTTTACCGTAAAAAATTCTGGTTTACTGTACTTACGAGCTACAGTGATGCAAGTGATTTAGATGTTAGTGATAGTGATTGACTATAAAAATTTCTGTTACTGTACATACAGACTTGTGATTGCCATAAGTGATAATTGAATTATTATTTGCTTCTAAACTTTTTTAAGCTGCTAAAATTTACAAATACATATCATACTTACAACCCACTGACTAATTTATAAGCCTCCTTTGCCCATACGTCATTTGGTTTAATTTTTAATAATTTCTCCAAGTCAGCGATTGACTCATTATACCTTTTCATCAAATAATTAATTTCTCCCCGATATTTTAATGCTATTGTATTGTCTGGTTCAATTTCTAACAATCTAGTTAAATCTTCAAATGCTTTATCATGTTCGCCCATAATAAAAAATATTTTTCCTCGGTAGCATAATTCAAATACATTACTTAGCTCTCTTTCTAGTGATTTTGTTAATTCATTGATTAAATTAACAAGTATATTTTCATATCCACCCATAATAAAATAATGCTTTTCATGATATTCTAATGTTAATGCATTCTTCGATTTTTTACTAATCACTTCATTTTCCTTTGATTTTATACTGTCTTCATTTTTCTTTGATTTTTTACCATTGTTTTCATTTTTCTTTGCTGTCTTTTGGAAACTTTTTAGTAGTGTTGTTTTGGGACGCCATTGACGTTTGCTAATATCTTTATTAGTAATTGCTGTCAATTGAAATACGCTAACGTCTTCATTAGTCATCGCTGCCACGCTAACGTCTTCATTAGTCATCGTTGCTACACTATCATCTTCATTGGTCATTGCTGCCACGCTAACGTCTTCATTAGTCATCGCTGCCAATTGAAATATATAGATGATTAAGTTAATTATAAATAAGCCAAAAATGATTAAAACCTTCGAATAAATTTACCAGAATATTTAAATTTTTCGTTGCCAAAGTTCACTTCTACTGATCCGCCTTGCGATCTAAATCCAACACAAGGATATAGAATGCCTTTGAAATTGCTATGTAGATGGCACGCAATTCCTTAAAATATTTTATAATGATTAAATTTCTGTAAAACATATACCGTACAGAGCTGCATATAGTACCCCCGGTTTTTACAAGAAATCTAAGATTAATTAAATAATACCCCGGGGTACTGTGTGAAGAGGAGGATACTATACAAGGGGTATACTAAAAAGAGGTGAGTTTATCGTATAACATGATCATTAGTTGGATCATGAACGTAATAAATTACTACTTGATTAGTATCAGGATACTTTTCAAAAATTTTAAAATCTACAATTGAATAATACCCCGATATTAAAGGAGATACTTCTCCAAGGGGTACTATATGCAGCGCCGTACGGTAACTTTTAATTCTAAATGTTGGTTACCTAAGTTAATTCCATTTTTAGTATAAAATACTATCTTATTTCTAAAATTTAGATAGCATCCAATTATATCACCAGTAGTATATGACTCTCCATATGGCCTACCATTTCCTGAATAAAAAGAATATCCGTCATCACCATGATAACCACACCCCCATGATTCATTTTCCTTGTTTTCCTGTCCTAAAGGATATGATATAGACATTAATCTATAATAATAAGAAAATAAATAAAAATTTGCTATTACCAGGCATGAACATATTGTTTATATAATTTAAATCGTCTATTTTTTTGTCGCTTTGCTTTGTACAATATCCGATTCCAATCATTCTATTAAGAAAATAGAATTAAAGATTATAAAAATCACCAGAACAAAGGTGGTGTTTATGGTACGAAATAATTATAAATATTACCCATTTTTTCCTTTGCTTATAATTTTAATTTCAAAGTAAAATATCCCACACTCTGAAGGGACTGGATTGTTTGCACGAACGATTGCAGCTTTATAGTCATCAGGATCTTTAATTCGAAGGTTTTTAATCAATTAAATAGCTATGATGATATTCTTTTAAATGCTGATGATTACAGTAACATTAAATGTGTTTCTGCGAAAATTCTCATGTTCATATTACCTGTATAACTCACATTGAGTCCACTCGAATTTATGTCGATAAATGGCGATTTATCCTCAATATCCCATTTAGTCGGTAAAACAATATCATTGTACGAAGTTACTAATTCTAAATCTTCCATTAATGTACGTAGGTTAAAATTCAATTCAGATCTTTGTTAATTATATATTAACAAACATTGACTATTTATGTATGCATCCTTTATTTGCGCGAGTAACACAAATCAAAAAAGGGGCCAAAGCCCGATGCGTTTAAGGGTTAAGGTTAAGGCAAAGCTTAGAAGTAAAATTCTCTTCCCAACATTTTTATTAGTGCCCAAGGCAGGTTTAGACACTCGTTTCTCGTATTTTTCACCCGGGTAAATCAAAATTTTACGACTTGATTGGTTGTAAGTCACGTAAACGCACCTGGCTTTAGACGACCTTTTTATAGCATTTCGTAAAACGGTTAATTTTTTTAATCATCTTACCTTGCTCACGTGAAATTTGAAACGTTTATTCAAAAAGAAGTTTGACTTTTATTAGTTATTTCACTTTAAAAACTAAAAAAACTCAATATCGTACTATATATTAATATTGCCAAAAAGGCTTCTAATAAAAGTTGGTGAAACACTTGAACACTTGATCTCACTTGATCTCCAACGTTTATATGAAAGTTCAATATTTCAATCCATGATTTATATATCTCTAACAAAGTTGTCAAAATATTTAAGCATCCAAAAAATAATTCGACAAAATTTTAGGCAGCTTTTGATTATAAAAATTTAACTACGTCTTATTTAGATAATTTCTATTGTAAACTAATATAAAAGCTTGTGTAACAATACTTTTTAATATAAATTACAGTCTGACCTTGATATAATCACCAGGCTGGGAAATGTGACTATAAAATGTTGTGACTACACAAAGGTCAAAATTTATATGTTTTATATTAGCTCGGTCAAAAAAATAGTGTGATTATAACAAGGTTGTGACTATATCAAGAGTGACTATTACGAGGTCAAACTGGTCTGCCCTCCATATAGTCACTCTCCATATAATCACACCCTCTTTATAAGCACACTAATCTTAGAACAAATATATATAAAACATAAGAAATTTGACCTCTAACAGTCACAATTTCTTATAAGCACAGAATTTCTTGAAACTGAGGGCGTGACTATAGAGAGGTTAGACTGTATTGTTCATTTTATGAGTGCGGGAGAGCGCACCCGTTTATTGATTATTTAGGCCATTTGAAGTTAGGGATGTTACGGTCCTGCAAGACCGTGGTCCGGACCTGTCTTTTGAACCGGTCTAGCCAGTTCTCGGTCCTAAAT